AACACTCTTATTTCTGAAAATTTATGACAAATTATTAATAAAATTCTCTTGAAGCACTCAAATCAGAGAGTCAGAGAGGGGTTAATTTTTTACCTTCAAATGATTTTTGCCTGTTTTGTCAATTTTGTCAATTTTTCACAACTTTTACCGAAAACATAAGAAATAAAAATGAAGAATACGTCTAGAAATCTGTTGTTCTTTTACTATGAAAATTAAAAATTAAAAATTTCAACAGAATTCCCAGTAGATACAAGAATTACTTATCTCAATAAAGTATTTTAATTTTACTTCATTTCAAATCATTTTGGAAATCAACAATGCTCTTTTATTTCCACTGTCCCCCTTTGACGTGGATGATAACCCGCTGATAATGACGACTGTGCGAACTGAGCCTGGAAAAAACCGAGTGATCGAAACTTTTGAGAGTTAGGGAAAGCTGTCGATCAAGGATTGCTTCATTATTTTACATTCGGTCAGGCAGTATAAATGAATCTGATTGAGAGAGTATGAGAATATTTATTTATTATTTTATCAGTTTTTAAATTTTTTATCATTCCTTGAAAGCATTTTTATGTTTGAGCAGCACTTAAACAGCATTTATATACAATAATAAAAGCATAAAACTGTAAAAAACTATCGCTGAAATTTAGCGATTTAATTGCAATGAAAAAGATTTCCTCAATTTTTTCTTTTTTTAAAAGTTCGTAAAGTACAGAAAAATTTAGGAAAAGTTCAATTTTTATGGCCTATAATAAAATTTGATTTCTTATTAAATCAATTGGTTCATTGCAACTATTCAGCCTATCATTTTGTACAAAAATTTGGGTTGTGATAAAATTTAATCAACATGTAATATGAAAAAAATAAAAATTAATAAATATATAATAAATTTTTTATTGCCAAAAGCAAGCTTATCAGCATAGATGGAAACATCTTCATTATCAAATGATAAAATAAACGTATAAATCATTAAATTTAAAATTTTCTACTGATAAATTTGTAAAAACAAATAACTATAATGTTAGTGGTTCTTATTTCATACGATGTTTTAAGCACAATTATTGCATAGATTCGCTCGATTGACTTTTAGCATTCTAGAGATATGCCAGCGAATCGTTTGACGATAGAATTATATGCGAGTGATCAGTATTATCCGAATTTTTGAACTGGTTTACTTCTATTCTCGGAAGTAGAACCACAGCATTAGCGTTCCAAATTCAGCAGACACTAAGCAAATGAAATTATAAAGTTATCAATTATCAGTTGAATTATAAAAATGTTATTTGCCATTTCTATTGTTTACTTACGAAAAAAAATAATTCCATCAAATTTCAAAGGTATAAAATTATTATTTGAAGTGATTAATGTGAAAAAAAAAACAATATAAAAAGGATCACTTAAATATGGCTGAATCAAGTTAGAACAAAGCTTTATTGTTTATGATTTTCACATTTCTCTTCCTTTCCTTCCTTGTAGACTGTGCAAATTTTCAAGCTCAAGAGGCTGATGAAACTATCGAGCAATGTGTAAAAGAAGTGGCAAAGACCGCAAGGGATCGACGACCGGGAAATAAAAAACGTCCAACTGTAGATCCAAAGAGTTGTCACGATCTTGACGCTGATTCTTGTACATTATTCAATCTTCGTGATGCACCCGGTTATATAATTAATCTTATCAACAATCCGTAAGTATAACTTTTAAACATTTTTTTTGCATCCCAGCGTGTCAATAAAAATAGGTTTCCCATAACAATTAACAAATTTCACTGCGTTATGTGGAAGAATTATTCTATTAATACGTATATGCAATTATATATATATTTACATATATATTCTATTAATGCAATATATATAAAATATAAGAAAATATAATAAAAATTAGTAAAAAATTAGAAAGAAATGATTGAAAATAATATTCACTGAAACCGTAGAAATGATCAAATGTTCGATGATTATATAGTGTCGGCAAATTGTAAAAAATACCCGAAACTCGCCGAAGATCTCTGTCCAAGTAGGTGCGCGCTTTGCTGCAAAACATTGGACTACAGTTGCGCTGATGGTAAGTATTATACTTTTACTTTGGATATATTTGGATACATTTCGAAATTCTTGAAAATATTCCTGAAAACAGCTATTTTATTGACAATTTTCAATAAATTTTTATTGTAGTTGCAAATTGCGAGAATATCACTCGAGCAATGTGTCAAACGTCAGCCTTCTACGATGCTTTATTAAAATCGTGTCCGCATACTTGTGGTTTTTGTCGTCGACCAGGCGCGGGGAATAGGTGTCCGAATACACTGAAAGAATGTGACATTTTGGCCAGATTAGGTGGTTGCAATGATGCGAGAATAAAAGGATTGTGTCAGAATTCCTGCAATTCCCTGGATTGCTTAACTCGTAAGTGGTGTTTAATAACGATACATATACGATGTTGCAACAAAATTTGGTAATGAATTTCATTTTCTTTAAACAAATTTTCGCTAATCTCAGTTACATCAAATATTATTTTTTTAACTATAGAATTTTTTAACTATAGAAAATATGGCGCAGACACCAGCGCCATCACAATGCCGCGATGAACGAGTTAATTGCGGTTCGAGATCGGACCTGTGTGTTGGACCATACTCAGCGGTGTACGCAAACCAATGCAAATTCACTTGCGGTCTTTGTAATAGAGGATGAAAATCATAATTTTTTTATAGGTTTATAATCTGTTAAAGTAAATATAGTTTCAATAAATTGCTATTGTTTTTCATTTCATTAAATATCAATAAAATAAAAATTAAAATTACAATTGAAATTTAAAAAAAATTTTCAATATTTCTAAAAATTTGAAACAAATTATTAATAAAATTTCAACAATCAAATTAAAGAATTAGAGGTTAAATATTATCTTTAAACGATTTTGTTATTTTTTCTTAATATTGCACTTTTCAAATTTTCCTGGAACTCCCCTAAGGCAATTTGTATAGCCTTTCAGGAGAATTACTTTTTTCTACTTTATTGTGTTACCACAATCATTTTTTGGGACTTCAGATTTTGGCAATTTAACGGCTTATTTATAGCAATAATTATTTTGTCATTTTTATGATAACAACTGAAGAATAGTAGAAGTATAAATGAGAAAAATATGAATGGTAAAGAGGAATGCAGTCCAACCGTCTATGAATCTATGGTGCAAAACGCCTTCTTCTACTAATAAATATTCTGCGCAGTGGAATGAATTGTCGAGATAAAAACCTTATGCCATCATATTGGAAAATGAACTGCGAGCATTGTATGCCTTCTTCTTACTGGCATTCATATTTTTTTTTTTTTGAAGAATATTACAGGTCAAAGTCGCTCCACTGGCTTGTCGAAACTGAGCAATATGCCAATATGGGAGTCCCTTGGTGATAGAAGAACAAGTAAGTCACCAGCATCATCCGGATTTTTGTATAGGTTTACTCTTGCGGGGAATCAAACCTTCCCAATCAGCGTTCCCAATTGAGCAACAACCCACTAAGCCATTTTATGCCCACTAGCATTCACATAAAGAAATATCTCGAGGAGGAACTCATTCTTGACGCGTGTTCATTGGAATGACCGGTAAAATTGATGTTCTCTCTTGTTATTCGCATATGGAAATCGGAATGAGTTATCAAGTCATGAGTTATCATTGGAATGAGTTATCAAGTCGAAACGCTCTCCTAATGTCCGCAAATTGAATGCCTATTTTATTTAATTAGCAACTAATTCAGACATTATTAAGATTATGTTCCAAGGGACAGCAAACCTGTAGTATCCAGGTGAGTTTCGAAATTAGACCTACAATGGTGTAGCACAAGTTTTAAGGTAATTTCGAAGAGATATGACAAATAGGATAGTCTGGAGGCGTAATGCAGTACCATAGGAACTTAGCGGAGACTTTTACTGACGTTCATAGGAAGACAATTTCTGGGAGAGAGAGAGATTTGACGGATAATGAGACATTCAGCTAGATGATCACGACGATACCACTTCTCCATCTCCTGGTATATTTTCTCCCTCTCCTACCTTCTTTCTTTCACTACTATAGTTATGGCGACACTGGAAAGGTATCAGTAAGTACCACGTTTAGTACCAAGTAATACAAATGAAAAATTTAAATATTAATCGTTTTAAGACCGAAAAAATTTTTAGCAGCTAAAAATACTTCATCTATCTTTTGGTGATGTGCTACTGTTGTTTTTTCATTTTGTTTTTATTCGTCTATTCTTTGCAGTGTTCAGTTATTTTTTTACCGATGATTTCCTCGTACTTCTAACCATATGGTAATCTTATTGGTACTTTCTTATACCTATCCAGGTGATATGAGGTTTTCTTAGATCCACAAGTAGGATAGAAAGTACCGTAGGCAGGTCGAAAGAAGATATATATAGCTTCCACTTAGAACCATTCGATTAGGGAGATAATTGAATAATTTCAGGGGTTCGATTCCAATTGAAAGTTAAGTATTGGTTAACTAACCCGAGTTCTTAAAGATCCTACACAGTTCAATTTTCTTTTTAAGATCCCTCACCATTTCTGGTTAAACTCGTTCCGCTGACTTATGCCACTGGATAAATGTGCCTATCCTATATCCTTTGACGATGTGAGTAAGGTGAGTCGACAGCATCACTCGGATTTTTGGACAGGTTTAGTCCCTGGGAAATAGGAAACCTCAGCGATGAGCGCTCAGAATCGAGTAGTAATAATCTAAGTCTTTCTACGCACCATAACAGATTAATTAGTTAATTATTTAGTTTAATTAGATCTTTTAATTCATGAATATGCGAAGATATTATTGGATTTGTTCAATTCATTGATATTGATATTTTCAATATTTTGCTGATAAGAATTGATAAAAAAAAACTGTCAAAATGATTGCCTTAAACACGATATGACTAGTGTTAATACCTAATACTTAGTGGTTTATTTTTTTGTTTTTTTTTTCAATCAGTAATTCTTATCAATAATTGGCTTTCAGATTAATTTATTATGAGTGATGACGACTCGAATAATGATATTGATGATGATATTGCTATCGATCAATCATGTTCGTTATCAGATTCGACTCGCCGATGTACAATTTATATTGTAGATGCAGCTGATAAAATGTTTCAATATCAGTCTGATGGCAAATTTTGTGATTTTAAACGTGCACTGAAGGTTACTTATTGCTTAAATATTTATTATATCAATCTTAATAGTATTATCAATTTTCATATTCATTTATCGACATGGTGCATGGTGACTAGAGTTATTGTCATATTTAAAAATAGGCAAGGTACCACTATTTTTGCAGAAGTTAAGCAGTAATACAATACAATGCGAATTTTAGCAGTGCGAAAAGAGCCTAAACGCTCCTCTTTTTATGAAATGCTGGGAAATCGTTTCATAGTGATTATATCTTTAATAAGAGTTGTGGGTTATTGCATCAATTTTAGCTCAATTCAGAACGCTAATGCTGAAATTATTTCCTGTCTAATAAAGTAAACCTATCCAAAAATCCGGGTAATGCTGGCAACTCATCTGTACTTCTTTCTAACTTTTAATATAATTAATTTTTCTCGTAACAGCATAAGGATTATTTAATTTAAATTTTTTTAATATGGAGATTTTTTTTAGCAAATAAATTATCATGCAATATTTTAAATTTATATTCTTAATTTTAAATAAAAAACAGTGTATCACGCCTCAGAAGTGGATTAAAACGGTGAGTGAAAATTCAGAGAATATTATGAAATATTTTAGATAGTTCGTTTACAAATGGTTAACAAGGCTGTAACATCGAATAAAGGGGAATATATTTCAATTATCTTCATTAACACTGTAAGTTTTATGTATTCATAAAGTAAGTAAAGTAAATATTGTATTTGCTTATTTCACTTTAGGTGAAACGTTCTGATTCGGTTGATAATGTAGTAATTTTTCAAAATATTGAGGAAATCAATGCTGATCATGTTAAACATTTGGATAAATTATATAAATCAGGTTGGTTCTTTTTTTATTTTTAAGACAAAATTTTTTTCTCATCTGGACTATACTTGTTGGTACTATATTTGCGTATGATGCTGACAATGACAGTAATAAATCGTATGACAGTGATAAATCGTTTATATATATGAAGAAAAATTTGATGAAATGATGTAATTTATAGTTTAGCATTTTATAATAATAAAATTTTTTTCGATGATTTATCAAACGCTATTTATAATATTTGTGGTGGCAGTGGAAAAGCGGATTTTAGCGAAGTACTTTTTCTTTGCATGAAAATGATTGCTTCTTGCAAGTAAGATTTTATTTTTTATATAGTAAAATTATAAAGATGTCCTTAAAGGCTTTATCAAATATGCTTTGTCAAAATTTGCACTAGCATGCTTATTTCGTATTCTTCTTCATCTAGTAGGAAGCACTGTTGGTTTCGCTTGCTGAACTGGTGACGACTGTACAACATTTCCAACCAATTAGTGTCAATTCTGAATGTCTAACCGTGTCGTTATCTTAATCTTCCATTAATCTTTCACGTTTTTTACGCTATCCATCATAGGATTTAACAAGTGTTGAGTCCTGTGGTAGACTATCATGATCAAATAAGCGAGGCAATATATAATTATTATTATGATTTAAATTTGATTTAATTTATACCAATTTATACAAATTATTTTTGGTTAATATTTTTAGCACTTCATTTTATAAAAAAGTTGTATATTTCTTCACAAATGAATGTCAGCCATTCGGATTAAGCGAACGGCATTTAAAATCAGCTGCAAAAAATGCCGAAGATCTTCGTAAACATGGCAATGATTTTGCAATTTTTCCATTAATTACCGCAGAGCAAAAATTATCTTCAGATTTCAATACTTTAGTTCATTATTAATTTTTTTATTTTTTTTATTTGTTATTTTATTTTTATTCTTTTGGTTAAAGCTTAATTTAAATGAATTGGTTAAAAATTAAATTAAGTGGCAATATTTTAGCAACAGCTTGATCCCAATGTCGAAGAGAACTGGGAAAATATTGCAGAACTAGAAGAAGAGTAAATTTTTTTGGTGATTTTAATTTGGTATGGCTAATATTAACATAAATATTTTTGTCATCATGCGGGTTTTTATTCGTTGAAATATTTACATTACGCTTTTTATTTTGTGGAATTTGTGTTATTTTTTAGCATACCAAGGAAACAATATGCTAGAAGGAATATTTGTGGAATTGATTTTTCTCTTGATGAAGGCCTCAAATTCTCAGTAGGAATGTAAGTCAAGCTTCAAGTTCAAAACATCTTTTTTAATTCCTTTTTTTCAAATACAGCCCCGATTATCGGATATTATGGTTAATTTTTTTGTATTCAGCTGAATTTTAAAGGTGATTAATATTCTCTGAATAAATTATTTACTTACAATCTACATGAAATATTTTGCTTATTTTTAGACAAAATGTATAAAAATATTCAAAAATATTATTTATGAATAAAAGCAGTCAAATTTGTTTTCGCTATCCAAATTCAGTATTAAATTCAAATTTAAAAAGTTGAAATAAATTCACTGCAGATATTCACTGATTCGGCCCGAAAAACTACCTAAAGCTATTGCACTGGATGCAGAAACTAATGAAGTTGTTCAAAGAACTCATATTTATGTAAATGAAAAGGTTATTTGCTTTCAATAGATCTTAGATGTTTAAATTCATAATTTTAAGGTTTTTTTAACATCCAGCAACGGTAATAGTATTATAAATTAATACTTAATTGAGTAAATCAATTCGATAACCAGTTTTAATTTTAATTCTTATTTATTTCTTATTTTTTATTTTCTTTTTTTAAAATTCAAATTCAAATTTTAGACTAATATAGAAGTTCCTCTACTTGATGGAGAGATAATGAGGCGAAAATTCATTGGTGGTACTGAAGTAAATTTAACTGCTCATGAAGTGGAACTCCTAAGACGTCTTACACCTCCAGGTTTTCCGAATAGTTCTTGAAATTATTACTATATTTAATATTGAATTTGGATAGTATAGCCAATTTGATGTTTTTAATCATAAATAATATTTTTATATATTTTTTCTAAAAACAGAAACTATTAATCTTATTAATCCTTCATATGGGGGATTCAGTGGTTTATTGATCAATTCGGAGCACCGATGCTGAGGAATCTGTCCAAAAATCTGAGTGAAGTTGGCGATTTACCTATACTTCTATCGCAAAGGTCTCCCTAACATTTGCGTGCTGAGCGAGTTTAACCAATAAGGACTCTTTAAAAAAAACCACTTTCTTATGACTGGCATTTTTTGAAAATGGATTAAATTGATCTTGTGAAAATAACATCCAACATTTTGAACTATGAATGCTTGTGATATCTGTGGAATGATATCAATAATAAAGAATTGCAGGAAATTTATTCTTTCTCAGTCGTCGATCGTGTATTGCTCAAGCGAAATTAATTTTATTAATTTTTAGGCTTAGTTTTACTTGGTTTCAAACCAATTTCATGTTTGAAAATTTCTCACCATAAAAGAAGCTCGCAATACGTTTATCCACTTGAATCTGTAATTTTATTTTGCTGTTATTTGTTGAATTATTATAAGTTATTTATTACGAAAGTTATTTTCCACATCCATGGATCTTCTTATTTCGAAAATTGTTTATTTAGAAAGGAATTTGTCTCTTGTCTTATGATTCTTACTATATTTATGCCTTTGTTTTGGGATTTTTATTTAAAATTTTATAGAGACGTTGAAAAATTTTAGAATGCAATTGGTTCAACTCGACTATATCGTGCATTATATGATGTTTGTTTACGCCAAAATAAGATGATAATATGTAGGTACACACAGAAAGAAAATGTTCCACCAAAACTGGTCGCACTGGTTCCTCAAGCGCCTGTAACAGAAAATGATCAATCAGTTAGTTTTTGAAGCTAAGTACTAAATAGTGAAAATTAATTTCTATCGTTAATTTTTTTATTTCTTATATTTCTTAATTTCTTATATCGTTGCAATTTAATTTCTATAACTTAAATCCTTTTATTATTGATACGAAAATGTTAAAATACTAAAAAGTAGAAATTTACTCGCAAAAAATCATATTACATAACATCATGAAATTTCAGTCGAAAATGAGCGCAAAATTTCGCTATCCTGGCTTTCACTTGGTTTATTTGCCGTTTGCTGAGGATAAACGCGATCTATCTGAGTATCTTTGCCATCCTTATGGAGAATGGCCCAAAGGTTCATTTCATAAAGCTAAAAGCGATGCGTACATTAAATTGTAGTTTAATTTATTTAATTTAATTTTTAATTTAATTTTAATTTAATTTTTTCCATATAGATTTAATTTTATTTTTAGCCAATGATTTCCAAATTGATTGTGCGAGGCAGTTTGTACGAAAACTCACCTCTAATTATTTCCCTGAAAAATTCGCCAATCCTGGTTCATTTTTCGTTTTACTACCTTATATATTGAGAAATAAAGCTCTGAAATATTAATAATCAATCAAATGTTATACCAATGTCATTAATTGTTCTTTTTTTTAGTCTTACAAAAACATTATAAGGTTATCGAAGCATTTGCTTTGGATTATGATGATCTGGAAGAGTTTCCAGACCAAACGCGTTAGTCGCTTTTATCCCAATTTTTTTGTAATTTCAGTAATTTGTAATTTTTTGTAATTTAAAAAATCAGTTTATAGAAAATAATTTACGGCAACAAAAGGCAATCCTATTAGACCAATCTAAAATCTTATAATTTTTTCGTTTTATTTTCTTTATTCAGCTTCATGAACATTTAAGAACCTTATTTTACTAACGATGCTTTTCGAAAAAGAGTGGAAACTGAATTATCGAGGTTGGTCTCTTCTACATTACCACCGAATTACTTCGCAAATTTAAAATTCAAACCGAAAGTTTCAAAAAAATCACATCATTCAGGTGAATTTGAAGAAATTTTGATGTTTTTTTTTTTTTAGATGTTATTTTGAGGTGACTTCTTGTTAATATAGCGTATTACAGTTAACATTAGAGCTTCTAGATTGTTATTGCTTGTGTATTTTTTCACGGTTCTATAGTTCGCTTTATTTTCTAAATTGTAAACGATAATAATAAATCAATTATTTTTAGATGAAATATCTACTAAAGGAAAAAGGCCAAAATTGGATCATATTAAAGAAATGGGCTTAGAAGAATTGGCAAATAATCATTTGGTATTTATTGATGTCTTTTTTTAAATTTGGAAATAATATTCAAGCTCAACGAGTGATTTGTTTAATGCATACTTTTTATATTAGCAGCTAAAACAAGAATGTAAACTTAGATGATAATTTTATGAGTAAATAAAAGCCAGAAAATAAGAATTAAACGAATTCAAAAGTTAAATGTTAGATGTTATTTATCGCTAAAATTAATATTATAATATTAATATTAATAGTTATTATATGATTATATTTTGTTTGAATATTTTGTTTATTTTTATTGGAAAATTTACTGGGAAATTTTTGAAAACTGGAAAAATTAAATCCTAGGTTAATTTTCTGTTTAGGCTTTAGTAGTTCCAGTCCAGTGGTTCCTATTAGTCTACTGCTTATTGCACCATATATTAACACGTGTAGTAATAATTTTACAAGAATCAGACCTGGTTTATTTTACAGCTCTATAAGTCGATATGTTATTCTATAAATTTTAATATAATTTTAATGTAGTTTATTTCCTATAAATTTGCTTTTTTATTCAAAATTTCAAATTATTTTCAATGCCAATTATTTTTTTGGTTTATCGATCATTGGACAATTTTAATTTACTGTTTTAGTTAAATTCATTAACAATAACGGAATTAAAATCGCGAGCAAACGAGGCGAATATAACGATGAAAATGAACGCAAAGAAAGCTGAAATTATCGATTCAATTGAAAAATTTTACAGTACGAGTTGAATCATTTATATATATTTATATATTATATGTTATATATTGTTTTTTTTACAATATATTCATGAATTTGCTTATTTGCTTATTCTATGCTTATTCTATGGTGCGGTGCCAGAGCCAATAACTTATTTTCTCGTTCTTTTCAATTCTCTTTTGTACACAAAATATTTAGATATAAAAATTTTTTAAAGCATTCATTCTCGTCTGAATAACGAAAATATTTTCATATTAAATTTTTTTTCGCATTTATTTGATATTTAAATATTTCGTTCACATATTTTAGATGTGTTGAAAATTATAAAAACGATAAAAAATATTTTTCTTTTTAATTTTCAATTAATTTAGAAAAAAATAAATTTTGAGTTAAATCGTTCGACTAAAACGAGAAAAGTTTTTGATTCATTAAATGCACCGAAAATTTAAAAAAAAAAATCAAAATTACAATTTGTTAAATAAATAATAAATATATTTTAGAATAATAACACTTATAATTAAAAGCAAAATTTTTTTTATGATTAAATATACGAGATGAATTAAATGAATTTGTTTCACTTATAAAGTACCATTGTCTTTATTTTTTAGCCAATTTTTTTATAAATTTTTTTTTTTGATTTTTATTTTGCTTAAAATAAGCTTTGAAATTTATTTCAACAAACCATTAAAAACATTTAACATATTCTAAAATATGTGAAATAAGATGGAAAAAAAAATGTCATTCTTCTGGCTTGGAATTATTTTTAATTTTTCTCAAGGAATCCACTAATCATTTTTTGGAATTTTTCATCTGAAAATTTATAAATTATAAATTTGTTTAAAAAATATCTAAAAATAAAGAATAAAAAGTGAATAAAAAATAAAGAAAAAAATAATAAAAAATATTCAATTATTGTAACCATTGAAAAAATAAAAATAAAAGTATAAAATTATTGGAAATATAATAAAATTATAATATAATAATTATTATAAAAATAAAAATATAGAAATATTATAAGAATTGTAACAATAAGAGTATAGAAATATTAAAAATATAATAGAATTACTGTAGTAATTATTATTATATTATATTAATTATTACAATTTCATTTAATCTCATCGAAATTTAAATAATATTTTATAATATTTAATAATATTTTTTGAAAAATAAGAATATCGACGAGTAAAAAATCAAATAAAAAATAATTTTTTTTTAGTAGAATTGAATTCTTTCATAAATTTTTATAAATTTATATAATTTTAATTTTTTATTATTAATTTATATGATTTATATTAATTTATTAACTGTTATAATAAGAATTAAGTAATTAATTGAAATAAATAGTTTTATTTATATTATTTTACTTACTTGAAATGATTTTAGCAGTATTAGGAAAAGTCGTCTTTAAATTCTCCTTCGTCTCATCACTAAGTGCCTTATATTTTTCAACAAATTCTCGAATTGATTCCTTAATTTTCTCAAGATCGGGCTTAGAACCAGGTTCTGGACGTAACGAACGAGCCTTTGCGATCACCTATAAATGCCTTTCACTAAAACTATAAAAAATTAAAATTGATTTGGTTATTTTGTGGTGTGCGGTGTATTTCAAGATATGAAGATTTAAAAAAAAAAAGTGGCTTTACTTCATCGGCAAATTTCTTCGCATCCGGTGTAAGACTTTCCAATTTTTTCTTAACGAAATCAATTAGTGCATGCACTTTTGCATGTAATTTTTCGCTTTTCTCTTTAAGTGCTTCTAACGCTGCATCTTCGTTAGCGTATTGATGATGATTTATGGTCATATTACGAAGAATTTGCTTATCCTCTGGAGTGAGATCCTTAAGGAAATCCTTGAGTTCTTGTGGAATGAATTCTGCAAATTTCTCTTTTTTTTATTTTTTTATTAAAATAAAAACGCATTTATTAAAAAGAAGAAATAAAAAAATTAGTAGATTTTAAACCTTTATATTCTTCTGGTATAGAACTCATATGGAATGGTATAACAGTGCCAAAAGTTCCGGCAATTGCGATTGATAAAATTATTAAAGCGATCATTCTCCTAAAAATGTTCAATTTTATCAATGCAAATACGGTATTTGTTAAGCATATCTTTATTTCGTAGTGCGCAGTTAAAAATAACTATGTAAAAGGTGTTAGTGTTCCAGTGATAAGCATTTATCACTCATAGGAGAAACTCGATGAAAAAAAATTGAAAATTTTAACCAATGATAAGAAATAAAGTATAAATCCACTTCAATTTACTATGCGCGATATAAATTTCTTTCTTTTATCAAATTTTTACGAAAGAAAATCAAAAATTTAATCAAAAGAAAATTTTTTAAAAGATTTAAATTTATAAATTCATCGAAATTCAATTTCTATTTTTGATATGATAAGCGATATTATCAGTAGGAAATTTTTCTTTTTTTAGCGAATAAAATTTTATTAATTTTTCATTATTGCATTATTTTTAATTATTTACGATTGAAGAATAAAAGATAAGCTAATAATAAATAAAAATTAGAAGGCATTAAATAATTTAAACATTTTGTGGTTCATTCAGTTAAAAGATTAAAGGTAGAAATGAAAATTGTAAAATTTTAAGGGGCACTTTTATATGAGAAACGAGCTTATCAAATGGTTATCAAATCGAATAGCAAGCAGCAACTGTCGAGAATAATTAATAAATCGAGCTTCGCTGCAGTCGATTACGCCACTTCAACAATTGCTTCAATTTCTTCGAGAATTAATTATATATATTTTACGATGAAAGCTAAAAAAAATTATAAAAATAAATAATAAATAAATAAGTTTTTTTTTTCTGATCCATTCAAAAACGCATTAAAATTGAATTATTTTTATTATCGTCTCGTCGAATTTTGATAATAATTTTTTGATAATATTCCGATAATATTTTAAATGAATAATTTTAAATTATTAAATTAAATAATTTAATAATTTATAAAATTGCAATTATATTCTACTAAATTTAATTATTTTTAATTAATTAATACAATTATAAGAGATCTTAAATAATAGTGGTTATATGGCCCTACTTGTTGTATTATAGAATCGTTTTTTTTTGAATCCCCTGGAACCGCTCGCGTTTAAAACTCATTTTTCAGGCTTTCTCAGCTCACATCCTCGCCTAGTTTTGTGTTTTTTAAAAAATTTTCAATAAAAACTCTAATAGAATTCTAAGAATTCGTAAAATTTTTTATATTTTTTACATTTTAATTTTTTAAAATTTTTAAATTTTTTTATAAAATTTTTCAGCATTTTCAAATTAGTTTTTTAATAAATGAAAAACTCTTTTATGTTTTGCGACTATGAAAATTGAATTTCTCCTTAGTTTTTATTTTCGTTAAAGATAAATGAAAAAGAATTTCTTAAAAATTGAAAAATTTTTTTTTTTTTTTTTGCACAAATAAAAAAAAATAAAGAATTTAAGCTACAAAATTTTTCAACAATTATTTCCTTTTTATTCATTTTTTTTTCGCTTTTCTAAGAGCACTTAAAATTTCTTTTTATTTGACTTATCGGGAAAAAAAAATTTAGTTGTAGGGAAATAATTTCGTCAAGAAAAATCTTTTAAAAAATCACTCGCTACTATAATTCGAATTTTACTTTATTTGAAAAGTAGATTTAGTTGTTTCTACTGGAAGTATAATTCAATATCGGCGTTCCAAAAAATGAGAACAATAATCCATTAAATAATTTTTATCGCTTTTTCATTTGTTTATTTCATCAAATTTAATGATTTTTAAATAAACTTAATAAAAATAATAATTTTCTGAATTAATTTTTAATTTAATAAAAATTTTTATAAATTTAATAATAAAAAATAATAAAAATAATAATAAAAAAGTAATAATAATAATAAAAGTAATAAGTAATAAAAGAATAATTTTCGACAAAATGCAACTATTTTTCAAGCATTTATTACTATTTAAACTATTTAAATATTCATATTATATTTATATATTTTATATTTATTAAATAAATATTATTTAAATGTTTATTTATTTAAATAATTGTTTGAATTCTTCTTATTTAGCTGAAAAAGAAAAAATTATATTTGTCTCAGTTATTCGGAAATTTTTACAAAGCTAAACCAATTCATAAAGCCCGAAAATGAAAAATGATGAAATTCGTTCACGACTAAACAAAAAAATATTAAAAAATCACAACTGATTTAATCGCCGAAATTTATCTTTTATCAATTCGAATTGTTATCATTTGAATTGCCTTGATTAATATTCTAATTTTATTATAATATATTCAACTATATAATAGATTATGTACATTTTTTTCGCCTACAATATAATGCCAATTTGTAATTTGTAATTTCTTTCACCTACAATATAATAACAATTTATAATGAATAATTTATTAAAAAAAAAATGATAAAAATAATAAATACATATAAAAAATAATTATTATAATTGTGTATTATAAAATTCATTATATATATAACAAAAATATAAATAATAATGAATAATAATAATAGTGATAATAATAATAATATAATATAAAATGAATAATAATAATAGTGATAATAATAATAATATAATATAATAATAATAATAACAATAATATAATAATATCTGGAAATAATACCAAATAATAATAGGTAATAATAATATTAACAATAATAAATAATAATGGTAAGTAATAATAAAAACAAGATGTGTTAAAAAATAATAATAAAAAAGTATAGTAAAATAGTAAAATTTATTTTTATTGAAATTTACTTTTATTTTTTAAAATTTTTCAAAAAAAAAAACAATTTTCTCTAAATAATAATTTAATAAAAAAATTTTTCAAATTATAAATTCTTTATTTGTTTTATTATATTTATAGCGAATTAATATAAAAATTAATTGTAAATTTTATAAATTTTTTAAAAATTTATGAAATCTATTCGATGAAATTTAACAGCCTTTATTATATTGTATTGAATTCAATGATTTACGATTTGAAAAGGATCGATTAATCGACCGAACAGTTGTTTTAGCTAGCAAAATGCCAATAAAACGACGTTAAACTATGATTTGAACAGACTTCCAATTTTAATTTCTCTACCTTATTTTTAATCGAAAAGAAATAAAAAAAAAATATGAAAAAAAAAATTCTATTTAATTTTATTTAAAAATTTTATTTACAATTTATAATTTACAAATTTATAAATAGCATAAAGAAATTTGATAATCTTTACTGAAAAATACAATTCAATTCACAAAATTCTATT